AACCCAGGAGGTGGAGGTTGCAGTGAGCCGAGATCACGCCACTGCACTCCAGCCTGGTGACAGAGCGAGACCCCATCTCAAAAATGAAAATAAAAATAAGTAAAGTCCTTGAGTCACACTTTCTGTCCTTGAGAATTTTGTAGGTATTGTTCCATTTTCTGTTAGCATCAAATATTAATGTGGAAATTTTCATGATTTTTGTTTCTCTTTTAAGTGATTTGATCTTTTTGCCTGGTTGCAGGAACTCAGAAACCTTACTTAAAGGTGTATCTTGGTACTGCCTATTCTGAATTTGTTTTCCCTGGGATACAGTGTGACCTTTCAGTATGTACACCCCAATCCTCTTATAGTTCAGAAACATCTTAGATTCTATCTTTATGAACATATCTTTACATATTTTTCCCATTCATGTTAAAGTTTTCTTTTATGCAAATATTACATCTCCTTTGCTGTCTTTTGTAACTGTTTCTTCTCTATTTCTTTTAGCCCTTTTTGGTTTCTTTTTTTTTTTTCATTTCTCTCCTTTTGTTCCCACTGTGTTTTTAGCAGTCTCTCTTCTCCCTTTGCTTCTTCCAGTTTCACCTTCATTTCTATAACAGTATTTTTCCTTTCACTTCTTTCCTCAGTTCTGCTAGTATACAGCTTGTCTTCTCTTCTTGTCTCCCTACCTCTGCTGAAGTTCTTGTATTTCTGCTTTGAGCTCTCATTTCATAGAGACAACTATTTTGTCAAGTTTTCTTTTTTTCATTGTGTAAAATATTTTATTACCATTGTATCTAGTCCATGGAGGCCCTTTTCCAGTGTGTGGTCTTAGTCTGCCATTTGGTTTTCCTATTTCTTTCCTAATTTTTCCTCACTGTATATTTTTATAGATCCTGTTTAGATTTTTTGTATACTTAAATAGGCAAGTTTTTCAGGGACCAGCTGTTTGCAGGATGCTTGCTGGGGGAGCTACCAAAACTGTGTTCTGGGCTGGCTACAGTTGTTCCCTTGATTTAGGGTTCTGGGTGAGTCCGTGTACCCTTAGTCTCCAGCCAGCCAATCGAGATAGGCAAGGTGTCTCTTAGCATCTCCTCAATGCAAAGGCTGTCTTCTCTACTACCATGGAGACCACGTCTGTGAGGCAAATGTAGCTTGTGTGATTTCTCATTTAGCCTCAACTTCAGGTCCAAGGAAGTTCCTGCCTTCTAAAAACGAGGAATTAATTTGGTACCGGAGTGTGTCCTTTACTCACAGGAAGTACATATTTTTGCAGGTCTTTCTGAGATCTCCAGCTTCCCTGTCCTCTCCCTGTAGCATCCTTTCTTCTTTTCCTTCTGTGAAGCAAAGGAGTCCCTGCCGGAGCTCCCTGCTTTTGACAGCTTTTTCACCTGTTTGGGGGTTTGGAGTTTTGGATATCCTATAGTTATAACAAAAATGGAGTTTGCATTTCTATTTCTTCTTTTTGCATTTGGAACACATTTTGAACAGCATTTGAAAATGCTGACTTTATGATGCAGTGTTAAATAAGAAGCTTTAACTGACTTTTTCTGTTAACCAGCCACTAGTCTCCACGACATCATGTGTTAGGCCTTTTACTATACCTTCTCCATAAAGCCCCCACCACCACACTGTTGTCGGTCTTCGAAGTCCCTAAAGCCCAAGGAATATGCTACTCAGATATATGGAAAGCCTTTCATTCTTTCAGCATGCCTACTCTGAGCATTGTTCTAGGCCTTGGAGATAAAGCATGGAAGAATTAATACAAGATCTTAACACACCAAAGTCTTAAATGATTTCATGTGGAATAGGTGTCAGGGATGAATAGAGTGGAAGACACAGTTTGGGATTCTGAGGAAGTATGATAGAAAGGGTAGAACATGAGCTCTGGAATCAACACCATTCTGCTACTAACATACATGACATTGGGATCATTTTATTGCCTTTTCCTCATACATAAAATGTATCAATTTATTCATATATAAAGACAAGGCAGGCCAGGCGTGGTGGCTTACGCCTGTAATCTCAGCACTTTGGGAGGCCAAGGCAGGCGGATCATCTGAGGTCAGGAGTTCCAGACCAGCCTGGCCAACATGAGGAAACCCCGACTCTACTAAAAATATAAAAATTAGCTGGGCGTGGTGACAGGTGCATATAATCCCAGCTACTCAGGAGGCTGAGTTGGGAGAATCGCTTGAACCCAGGAGGCGGAGGGTACAGTGAGCCAAGTACACAACACTGTACTCCAGCCTGGGGAACAGAGTGAGACTTTGCCTCAAATAATAATAGTAATAATAATAATAGTAGTAGTAATAATAATAAAGTGAAGGTTACATTACCTACCTTAGATGAATGTTGTAAAAGTAAGGTAAGTTACATAAAGTACTTGGTTCATAATAGATGCTCAACAAGTACTACTTTCTACCCACACAGGGATTGGCTAAACAAAAGGAATAAATACTGAAAGTACAGGTATAGAGGACTGTTTCTCTCCTTTTTTATTAAATTGTGGTAAAATATGTAACATAAAGTTTCCTGTCTTCACTATTTTTAAACTTACAGTTCTGTGGCATTAAGTATGTCCACATTGTTGTGCAGTCGCCACCACCATCCGTCTCCAGAGCTCTTTATCTTGCAAAACAACAGCCCTGTAACCACTGCCCTCTTCCCCCTGCCCATGGCAGCCCCCATTCCAGTTTCTGTCTCTGAATTTGACTACTCTGGGTACCCCATAGGAGTGGAATCACACAGTCCTCATCCTTTTGTGTGTGGGTTGTTTCACTTACAGTGTCTTCAAGGTTCATCTGTGTTACAGTGTGTCTCAGAATTCCCTTCCCTTTTACAGCGTCTCAATTCAGATGGAAACAAAACAAAACAAAACCAAAAAAACAGAATTCCTTTCCTTTTTAAGGCTGAATAATATTCTGTTGTATTTCTGTGGCACATTTTGTTGATCCAATTGTCTGTTCATGGACACTTGGGCTGCTTCCACCTTTTGGCTGTTGTGAATAATACTGCTATGAACATGGGTGTACACATTCTCTTCAGGTCTTTACTTTCAGTTCTTTTGAGTGTGTACCCAAAAGTGGAATAGTTGAGCCATATGGTAATTCTGTTTTTAATCTTTTTGAGGAACCACCATACTGTGTTCAGAGGCCTATTTATTGATGGGGACAAGTATAAACAGTGGAATTCCCCCAGAGAATTATTTTAAAACCAATCTTAACATTTTGTAAATTATCTAAATATGAGACTTTTATCATTAAATCTTTATTTGCATATAGCTAATGAATAATTCATATTGTATAAAATGTAAGAACACCTCGTGAGAGTGTGTGTGTATGTAGACAGAACAGTGGTTAATAAGGCTCAATGTGGGCACACATACACGGGAATACATTTGATTTATTATACTCTGTCCTCAAGATCAGAAGTTCCCTGCACTTCCTGAGGGCAAAATACAGGGAGCCAATGCCAGAGAACTTCAGATGTCAGAAGTGCACAGTGCCCAGATATGCCGACACATCTTTCTTCTTGACTCTGCATTGCTTACAGAGTAAACTGGTGGTTGACTGTAGACTCTAGACCAGTGGTGCTCAGCTGGGGTAAGTTTGCCCCCTGGAACACATATGACAATTCTGGAGACATTTTTGATTGTCAAGCTGGAGGAGTAGAGACCAGGGATGCCAGAGAACAGGCCACAGCGACAGGACAGCCCCACAGCAGAGAATTTTCTGGCCCCAGATGTCACTGGTACCCAGGCTGAGAAGTCCTGCTCCAGACCCAAATTACCTTCTCAGCCTTGTCTTAGCCTCTTTCCTGCGTAAATAAAGTTGCCATCCCAGCCAGACCCAGAAGCTCCCCATACCTGCCCATACACTAGCTGAATTGCTCCTTCCAACACCTTCTACCTGAAATTCTTTCCCCTGCTTCTCTAATGTCAGAGCCCAGCTTCAGTCCTCCCACTGTCTCTGTGAAACTCTCTGATCTCTCTAGCCACAGTTCCCTTTCTTCTCTCACTTCCCCAGGATTATCCCAATCATTTGGCACTTAGTTAACAATAGAAGGTTGTACTTGCTATCTTCTCACCTTGACTGAAAGCACCTTGAGGGCCATTTGATACGATTTGGTTTGAAATATGCAGTACCATTCCTTATGAACCCCAGTGAGCATCTCTGCTTTGACCCACCCAGGGCTTTCTGTGACAGCTTTCCTACTATGATGGGGTGCAATGGTTGAGTCAACCTCTGTCCCATCACAGCGGTTAGGTACACTGAGATTCAGCTTTGTTTAGATAACTAGCTAGATGGAACCTAAGCCCAAATGTGAGCCTTATGCTTAGAAAGGTGTTTATGCTGAATCTGCTTTCTAATCTAAGCAGTAAGAAATGAGGTTAAGAGAGGTGCAAAGGAATTGGGCTCTATCTTGCTCTGATCACGTCCCTTCAGTGGAGCACAGCCTGGAGGATATGCCTTATGGAAGGTGGGAGACATTCATTTCAGTTGCTTGGATAGGGATTATTCTGTCATAACTGGACCTACTTAATGACAGTCAGTGTTGATGATGGTAATATTAATAATGAAAGCCATAATTACTTACTTGGAACCCAGTGTGAACTGGGCACCAGGCTAGGTGCTTTACACATATTTATCTCATCCAGCCCTCACTGCAATCCTGGAAGGAAGCTGAAGCACTTTAAAGATAATTTGCCCAGGGCCACCCAGCTAGCAAGTAGCAGAGCCAGAATTTAAACAAGAGCTGCCTAACTTTGAAGCCTGTGCTCGTAGCTACCACCTCACTGCTGAGGGGAGAGATTCATGTTGCCCTGTGCCAAGACCTGGGAGAGACCCCTCGTGGTGTCACTGGAGAGGTGGATGGGCAAAGGGGCTTGAGTGTCTGAGTTCTGAGTCAGGACCTGTTGTCATATCTGACCACTCTGCTGCAGGAAAAGGAAACCTCATGGGTTACACTTTGACCACCACAGAGTATTCTGACTCTTCTGATTTTTGCTTCCGCTTTAGGTGCACTACATCCTCCAGGAGGTGGTTATGGGTGGGATGGTGTTGGAAACAAACATGAATGAAATCGTGGCTCAGATTGAAGCTCAAAACAGGCTGGAGAAATCCGAGGTGGGTAAGCAACTGTGTTCTAGCCCTGGCTGGGTAGAGAAAACCTGGGCAGAGGCAGGAGTGTGTACATGTGTTGGTTTGTGTTGCTGTGAAACCTCAGGAGATGATACTCATCTTCTTTCTTCCTTGAGTCCATTGAAACTCATGGATTTGAAGGTCAACCAGCCCTGAAAATTAAACAGATAACAAGGTTTGAAATCTCAGACTTTCAGGGTAAAAGAGTAAATAGAAAAGCCAGATGGCAGAGGAAAGCAAACAGCTTTTGGCTTGGGGGTTATGACCCATGTTTGTGGTTTGTAATTCCTCCTTTGAAAGCCACTCGTTCCCTGGAGGGACCCAGAACCTTCTTCTCCTATTCCAGTGTGGTTTCCTAGTTTGTGTGCTCTAAGAGTCTGATCTCCCAGCAGCCATTTCTCGTGGTGTCTTTCAGACCTCAGAGTTGCCAATTTCCTTATTTCCAGTTAGCCTTATAAAAAACTACAGTAGAGTTTGGGCTAGGCTTGAAAATAACATACCCCAGTCCACCCCCACATGGTACTGGGCTTGATACAGATGTTCACATAAATTCTGTCCTATCCCTCTGAGGTCTCTCCATCCCCTTCCTCAGCCTTACCAGAGCACAGAGGTTACAGACATATACTTTCACATGCAGAAATAGCAGAACAAATTACCTCTTTAATTATCTGAGGGTCTTAAAGAGATTCTTTGCCTTGTATAACGGAACTTGATCTTGCGAAACCAAGAATTCTTCTTTCTGTGAGGACTGGCAGTCCTGCAGAAGAAGCTTTTGCAGACCACAGCTATTGTGACAGCTATAGTTCTTTCAGAAATGTAGGCTGGGAAGATTCCAGGAATAGTAAGTGAGTCAGAGGCAAGGGGGTTGGAAATGAGAAGAAATGGAGACTTGCTGGGTGAGGGCAGAATTGGGGTTGGCATTCGGAAAGAAGGCAATAGGGGAAAAATGATTGTGAGAGAGTCTTCATCCACTTTTGCCCTTCTCTCCACATGGGGATGAGCCTGCCAGGTAGGGGGTTCACTGTAGATGTGCATACTCTGCGTTTTGTCACCAGCCCTTCTGTATCTGTGATACCCCCCCACCTTCTCCCAGCTTGTTGCCACACGACACTTCCAAAGCCAGCTCTTTTCATTTCACATTATTAGTTGGCAAGCAGTTGCCCTAGAGCCATGGCTTTTCTTTTCCTTTTAAGAATTTCCCTGTGACTTTGCACGTTTCAATAAGAGTCTTCAGTCTTTTGAGGAAGGGGTTTTGTTTTGTTTTGTAACCAGAAAAGTGCCCCTGACAAACCACCTTAGATTATTTCAGCATTTTTTGAGTACCCACCATGTGCCAGGCACTGTGAGATGCTGGGGCTGTGAAACTGCATAGGCCACACCCCACCTCTGAGGAACTGGTAGTCTAGTAGGACTGCAGGCTTTGGATCCCTGTGCCAAACCCCATCTAACCTCAAGATTGTTTTGTTGGCTACTTTTGAGGAATAAGGGGGGAAAATTAAAACTTCAGTTGTATGTGCTCAGTTTGGAATTTCTCTAGGCATCCCTCACCTGTTATTTTGTTTGTTTGTTTGTTTGTTTGTTTGTTTTTGAGACAGAGTCTCTCTCTCTTGCCCAGGCTGGAGTGCAGTGGCGTGATCTCAGCTCACTGCAACCTCCACCTCCCAGGTTCAAGCGATTTTCCTGCCTCAGCCTCCCTAGTAACTGGGACTACAGGCACCCGCCACCACACTCGGCCAATTTTTGTATTTTTGGTAGAGATGGGGTTTCACCATGTTGGCCAGGCCAGTCTCGACCTCCTGACCTCAGGTGATCCACCCACCTTGGCCTCCCAAAGTGCTGGGATTACAGGCATGAGCTTGTTTGTTTTTGTTTTTGCTTTTCTTTTCTTTTCTTTTCCTTTTTTTAGCGTTAAGCAGATAACACTGAGAATTTGTCTCACACTCGCCTCTCATTTCTTCTCAGGGTGGCCTTTCAGCAGCCCCTGCGCGGGCTGTGTCTGCTGTGAAAAACATCAACCTGCCAGAGATTCCTCGGAACATCAACATTGGCGATCTCAACATCAAAGTTCCCAACCTGTCCCAGTTTGTCTGAGGGTCAAGGATTGGGCTGAAATAGAGTCCTTAAGACAAGCAAAGACAAGCACGTCTGGAAACAGAACCCATTTTGAGCCATAGAAGAGTCAAGCCTCAGGACCTGGAACCTTTGTGTCTGGGGAAGACTGTTTGGCATGGAATGGGGAAGGGATTCCTATTGACACTGCTTGGGTGTGCCCAGTTCTCACATGTGCAGCCATGCCGTTCTCTGATGCACACGGCCGCTGCAGATGTGAGGGGCCCTGCCTTCCTCAGCAGGGAGTCAGCATGCCCAAGCCACTCGCACCTTTACCTTACACACGGACACTCCCAAGGGTTAGGGACTGCATTGAGCAGACCTACCTGCTTCCCAGAACCTCCTCACTAGGGCTGAGCACCTTCTCTGACTGGAGTCTTCATCCTTAGCACCACAGACTTCTGAGGTCCCATGGCCTTTACTTGCTGCTGAGGTGTCATAGGTAGAAATGGGCTGGCCCTTCAGATTTGGGGGTGTGGTGAGTGGCAAGTAAGGGCAGAATTTTAGAAGAACCAGAG